TCATGGTCCTGACAAAGTGTTGTTATTTTTCGGGTCAATCAGAAATACAATTTGGCTGCCATGGCCGCTATTTTGCTACTAAGTTCTAATAGGCCGATCTCACTTAAAATTGGTCTAGGAATGATCAGCTCATGGTCCTGACAAAGTTAAGTTAACATTATACTATTTTTTACTCAAATTGGTACATATTTCAACAACAAAAATAAATACTTTAGACTCAGGTGACCGTTAAGGCCCATGGGCCTCTTGTTACATACAGTATTCTTTGTAAATATCCTGGAATTTTCCTAACTGCTATTCCCGCTGTAGTTTGGCTGTGTGTTGAAAAAATGTGGGGACTGTTTCAAAGATGGCGGCTGTTGGAGAAGTAGAAGGTGGCTTCTCGGAACATGATAGTTTTAATCCACTTGAAAACATTTTACTGATTAGAAGATGCACTGAAACACGAGTAATACATCAGAGTGGTATAAAATGCTGATATTTCACTCCAGAAATGCGACTCTTGTAAAGTACAGCGTTTGCAGGGCGAGGGGGGCCGGCAATCGAGACATTCAGTCGATGACGAGTTTGAATTTTCTAAAAAAAAAAAACAGATTCAAAAATTAATTTTGAGTACTAATCGACCAATGATATAGGTAAAGAAGCCTTAAAAGATAAATAATTATCTATGCAGGTAGCAATTACCTTTGTAATGCACATCTAATACTTTTCAACGCACATACTTCACTACAGTGATTCCTCAAATACACAGTGGTCCCTGAAAACTGATGTATTTCCAACCATGCACTCGAATCCTTACAGTATATAAAACCATATTTGCAATCCTGATATTAATAGGAAAATCTCATAGCAGATTCTCACCCATCTTGATCAAATGTTTCACTTGAATACATTTTGATTGTTAATTCATTATCATTTTTAAAACAATACAAGAAGATGGATTCAACATTTTATTTATTTTAGAAATGTCTAAGGGTTGTTCTTAATTTGTTATTTCATAAAATTATTGACCCGAATACGGTATGGCGGACATAGGGCTAAATGATAGGTACATGGAAGAGTAGCTACATATATAATGTTTCTTTGTTGTATTTCTGTTTCAAATACAGATAGCTATATGTTTTCTTTGTTGAGCCGATTTATATCTTATTTAGTATTTAGTAAGAACAAGATGGCCAACAGGTGGCCATTTTTATCCCTTTCAGTTTTATCAAGATTGCATTCTGTTTCAGTATCATTTACTTTATACTTTCAATTTCCTAGGAGAATGGAAAGAGTTACCTCCCATGCCAGAGGAGTCCTTTTTGATTGCTGCATGTGCCACGTCATCAAACCGAATATATGCCTTCAAATCTCAGGCCTTCTACTACGACCTAGGATCCACTCACTGGACCAAGGTCCCGTCCTCCGTGTACAGCTTCACAAAGCTGGTACCCTCCAGTGCCGTATACATACCCAGTAGGGAATGTGTTTATATTGTGTCACGCTACCACAAAGATCTTCTGTGCTTCAACCTTGTGACGCAGACTCTGACAACGGTCGGACAATTTCAGTATGGAGAGGCTGCCAGCAATGCTGTTGAGCATAGAGGGAGGGTGTGTCGCTTCAATGTCAGTTTTGTTCTTGAGTGGTATGATTACGTAAAGGAAGAGTTTTGTAGATCTAAGTTTGTTGATGGTATCTCGGTGCTGAATTTTCATCTCTTACCAATCCCAGACATGTTAGGTGGGCAGTAACTACAGATGATGGCCCTAGAACCATAAATCAAAGTCCAACTTAAAAATGTAGATGAAATTAATATTTTTGCTGGATACATTTCCGATTTCAGGAAATAGTTCATATTTTACAGTCATTGCATGTTGTGAAATGGAAATAGTTCATATTTTGCAGTCATTGCATGTTGTGAAATGGAAATAGTTCATATTTTGCAGTCATTGCATGTTGTGAGAAATGGAAATAGTTCATATTTTGCAATCATTAAATGTTGTGAAATGGAAATAGTTCATATTTTGCAGTCATTGCATGTTGTGAAATGGAAATAGTTCATATTTTGCAGTCATTGCATGTTGTGAAATATGGATTATTTCATTAAAATCACATTTTGATATTGTTCAGGGGGAAAAAGAAAAAACGGACGGTATTTAGATTTGGATTTGTTCCTGCAGTCAGATTCATGGTGTAACTTTAGTGAAGGTTGATGTGGATGTTTTTTAAGTTACAGTAAAACCTTGATATATTTCCCTCAATTTATCGCCAAACCCCTTTATAATGCGGAAATTTCTCTAGACAAATGGTGGCAGTATAACAAGGTTTCACTGTTTTTTATATTGGTTTGTAAAAAATACTTAGTTCAAATTTCAACCTAAAAATTGCACTCTGTATTTAGGGAATGAACTTAAAAATATCTCAATATTACCTATAGGGTAGAATGACAACAGATCTTTGTGTAGATCCATCAGTAGCCAGTGAATTGCCAATTAAACTATTTTTTCGTTTTCACTGGTACATTCACGTAAATGAAGGTCTGAAGTTTGATATATAAGAATAAGTACGAGTTATTGAAGGATGAAATACTAAATCATAAGCAGATTTATATAGTGCATCATCGCTCTTTTGGAGAACCCAGTTCATCTATGGGTACACCTGCATTTATGAAGATAATTTTGGTGATCATGATAATTTTGAAAACAAAGACTTTCAAATAAGGAAGCAGAGAGCAATTAGGGATTTTTTCTTCCGTCTTTTGTGTATGGAATTTTATAAAATTTAAACCAATTTGCCAACAGTGGATTTTTACGATATTTGAACCAAATTTCCGAAATCTTACAAAAGTATCAAGTAAAGGGGGCCTTTTCCTGACTAAGAATTGGTTGTGCAGTGATAGAAATACCATCTTCCGTTTTCCTAAGGCCCTCTATGAAATGGATTCCTTGTTGAAACTTTTACCTCTTACGACCAATGATTTGACTATGAAGTTTCTAAAGTGATTTTTACACATATTTGAATGTATTGCCAATTATATTGTGTGTATTGTTATTTATCAGTACAGTGAAATCTTGTCCAGGGGATATTAAACACGAAATTGTTTCTTTTACAGAAAATTAAATAACTTTCGTCTTTAACAATATTTAAGAATTACTTATAAAAGGACATACATCTCCTTTTCAGTTTTAGACAAAATGCTTGAAATATTTGATTGAGAACACTCTTATAAGAGACACAGGAATGTATGCATAGCCTAACGCTTGGGTTGGTGTATATTTACTGTGCGAATTGAAATGTTGGAAGAAAGATAGCTCTAGCATATAAATTGGGGTTTAATGTGTACTCTAGCATATATCTAATGTGCAATGAGTTACCGGGACCTGTATTGATGAAACAGTTCTCGTGTCGCAAACTCAGATTCTGTACTCAAGCCTAATGTCTTGTTTTGCTGAGGAGTTACTGAAAAAAACAATATTTTTTCAATGACATGGAAGAATGTTTGAGTGAGCTACATGTATAGCCAAATGCATTCTTAATTCATTGAATTTGACTTTTTCATCATGCCTCATGAATTAAACAAGTTGTAAGAAAGTTGGTTTGAGCAAAGAATCTATACTTGAGCATGAGAACGGTTCCATGAATATAGAAGCCCGGAAGTATTTGTGTCAATTTTAACATTTTGTCACATGTTAATATAGCGTTCATTCAGTATAATAGCTAGACCTACAAAAATGATGTAATTAATGCAAATAATTCAGGAGTGAGTCTTGCATCTTGAAAGCACTAAACGATGACATATTATGTGTTATATGCACAGCAGCTCTCATCTTACATGTGGCCCAAGGTTTTAGACAGACATCCATGGTTATCTGTAAACTTTCTGTATTTATCCGGCAATAAGCCCATATTTGTCCATAAGCCTGTAACTATATAGTGCAGTTATGACGAAATGTCAACAAATTTTTTTTCATTGTCCTGTGATAAGCCCACCCCCTACTGTCAGTCAGGGATTTTGTGTTGGGTCCCCCTGGGCTTATTGCAGGATAAATACAGTAAATCTCCAGACATTGATGTGGTTAACTCGGCTAAGTACTTATAGGTTTTACCTTTCTTTACTGACACTCAAGTTGGACTGAATTGTTCGTTCAGATATGACAGTGTGTCGATTAAGTCAGGATTAAAGACAAAGAAACACATTATTTAGAGGCTATAAAATCATGTCAGATAATATAGGCTGTCCTTAAACTCAGGTATCAGTAAAGTCAGGTTTTTATTACTTAAAGGTATGGGTTTTGACTTCTGCGAATGGCAAAGTTTATCTAAAGTTATTATTTAACAATAACAAAGTAATCAGTTCACATTTGGTTGCCTCATAACAACAAACGGTATCAGCACATGTTCCTTGTACAAGATTTTGAAGCAAAAACTGATGGATGGGTTTTTATTTTCCTTTTTGATATATCTGTTATATACACTTGTTATTGCATGGTTTTAATGAGATGCCAGTTTTTTTTATGAGATAACAGATTCTGCCATAGCATGTTTAAATCGACTCGACACATTGCCATGTACCATTTGTTATTGTTTTACTCTTGTTGACCAGTATTTTTATTCCAATGTTTTTATACTTCCAATAAATTTGTCTAAAAACAATTTGATGGTTATTGATTCCTTTTTTGTAGTCAAGCATTAAAGAAATTTATGGGTGGTTTGGTGGCACAGTTCTAACTGCATACACCTTTTATGTGCAAATGAAGGAAGATGGATATACAGTTACACATATTACAAGTATCCTGCTTTACTTTACAAATGGCATAAGGGAGACATCAAATGTCAAGGTCAAAGATGGTTTTTAACCTTAACCTTCAATATTTTTGAAAGTTACCTTATTGTAGTCATTCATTCAGGTAAAAAGAAATTCTGTTGGCTGGGAATTTTTTGTTGCAGTTTAATTTTGCTTGGGTAGCCCTTCATAATGAGGACGAATTTATCATAACAGCAGATATAAGTAAACAGCATAATTAACATAGTGATCAATTGTAAAGGACGAAATTAAAACTGGACAAATCAGGGCTTTACCAGCAAAGGACAAAAGTTTGACTTTGACGAAAACGTTTACCGGTTTACTGTATGAAGACTGCAAAAGCTGAAGGTCAGAGGTCAAAGTTTCAAGATCAGTTGGGTTGAATTAAAAAAAAAAAAAAAAGTATAATTGATTGAATATTACCACAGATACTTAAGTTGTTCTATGATAGATATTAAAATGCAAAAAGCTTGTAACTTTTAGAGGTCAAAGGTCAAGGTGACTATACAGGTTTTTTCAATCATTAAATTCCCCCTTATTCAATAAATGCAGTGGCATCAGTGAAAAGTGCCAAAGCTGCGGAGGCTGAATATCAAAGGTTTAAATCATATTTAAAACAAGCAGGGGCTTTACTTATACATCTGCTCCCTGCATACCTGTAGCTATATAAATAGTGTTAGGTACCCGAGGTCAAGATAAAAAAAAATGGATGTTGACCTCATGAACCCCATTTTATAACAGCACACTGTGACCACCTGGACTGATTACATCAAATCTAACATCCATACATTAAGTGGTAGCCGATGTATCTTCTGGAGATCTATGCCTATGTTGTATTTTAAACCTGAGGCCATATTGAGGTTAAATTCAATCCATTTTATTACCTGATGTATTGCTTGATTGTTAAGTACATACAAATCAAGCATGAAGTACATACAATACTTTTAAAATGGTAGCTAAGATATGCTTTGGAACCAACCTGTATCATACTGTGTTTTAGAACTTGAAGTGAAGGTCAAATATAGGCCACAAGGACCTCATTTTGGGCTGCAACACTAAAACCTTCCCATGATGCACCCGATATACAAAGTTTGGTTGCCACTCATAAAACTGGCTGAGATGAGATCCGAGAAGCCATTATTTAGTACTTCAGGTCAAGGTCATAGGTCAAATTGATGAGATTTCAGAGGCCTTGTTATAGAGTGGAACATAACTCCTTCACTGGATTTATCTATATACAAAGTCTCATTCATGAAACAGGGGCTCAGATATACTCAAAAGACCATTATTTAGTACTGATGTCAATGTCGTGTAGGTCAAATTGAGGTCACAGTGACCTCGTTTGAGGATACGACAAACTGCCTTCCCATGGTATAACTATATAAACATAATGAGATATGCCCCAGAAACCATTGTTTTAGTATTTTAGGGTCAAGGTCAAATTGAGGTCACAGTGACCTCATTTTAGGAAGTGACATACCTTTATTCCGCGATATACTTCAGAACAGTTGCTGAGATATGCTCCGTAAACCACAGTCGGCACGCACGGATGGACGGACGCACAGGAAAAGCGAAATAATATATATCCCCAACTTTTGTCGAGGTGGGGTGCAATGAACTTTTCTCTATCAAGTTGGTTTATTTTATTTCCAAGATTTCATTCTAGTGTAAAGGACCTGTCACACACTACCAATGTACCTCGCCGGGACTAAACCGGAGCAAACAAATTAACAATGGCGAGAAAATCGGCAGAGCTACGGGGGAGAAAGCACTTGAAAAATTGACCGTAGCAATACCGATGTAGTACCGGCGTTCTCGTTGTGCTACCGTTGTTCTACCGATGTGATAGGGAATATAACTTTTCTGTTACCTCGGTGTTACCGAGGCGCCGCCGATGTTATACCGAGGCGCCGCCGTTGTTCTACCGATGTGCCACCGTTGACCGGAGCTATAGCGGAGTGATACCGTTGCGCTGCCGATGTTACGGTAGTATATCGTTAGAACATCGGCGGCTCATCAGTACTACTTCGGTGGTATTCGGTAGTACTACGGCATAACATCGGTACCAGTACGGTACACATTGAGGCCCCCGCGGAGAGCCGCCGATCCATTACGGGGTGCTACCGGTTCTCTACCGACATTAACGAAGCCATACAGGAGTACTGCCGTTGTAGACCCCTTGCTAGCGCAACGGCGGACATTTTTGAGCGTGTATCAAAAGTTCCTAACGCCGCCTGCCGTTTCTATTTTTTTCGCCGATGTTCTGACCTTAGCGATGTGATACCGTTGCGCTGCTGTACTAGTACCGATCCCTGAACATCGCCAAATCTGACGGTGCTCCGGTCATCCTCGATATCCACGGGTTACGCTCACTTTCGCTCTCTGCACCCCTGGAATATGTCATATCAAAATTGAAGGCACGTGACCGCGAGATTCTTTTGATGTATATCAAAGGATCGAACTAGTCTTCTTGTATCATCAACAAGGTGGCTCACACTGACCCTTCAATTTTTTTATGACATTCTAAGGGTGTAGAGAGCGAAAGTGAGTGTAACCCCTGGATAGCATTCGTCCATTGTTTTTATTTTCAATCGAAATCTATTTCTTGACTGTCTATGGTCATCTTAATTAATATGACCAATCGTGTAAACGTTTATTAAAGAATCATCAAAATTGGCATTTCAAGTAACTAATGATTTCTCTTGTTTTTGTTAGTTAATATGAACATCCTTCAAAAAAGCGCCAACAAATTGAAAATAAATTTGTCGAGTTAATTTGTTAAATTTCTAGGTAAACTTTTCTAGTTAAGTTGACCAAATACATTTTATAAAAAACATGACAAACTACATGTCGAAACTACATATCAGTGAAGAATATCGATTAAGAAAAACTGTGGTTGTACCGTAGATCATTTGGGCGAAGTACAATGTGCCTGTTACCTTAGGTATCATCCTACCTGTCATCCTCGATATCCAGGGGCTACGCCCATTTACGCTGTCTGCACCCCTGGTTATGTCATACCAGAATAGAAGGCCACCTTGTGGATGAGACGAGAAGACTTGTTTATTCCTTTAATGTTCACCAACAGAATATCGCGGTTGTGTAACGGTAAAACTTACTAGCTGCCTCTGAAGTCGGGAGTCGCTCCTCTGTAGTCCCCAAAGAACATGCATCAGCCTAGTGATTGGTCAGGTTTGTTTTATCCGAGAGCAATTTAATAGGTGCATGCAGCCGCGTGCCTTCAATTTGGCTATGCAATACTCCAGGGGTGCAGAGAGCGTTAGTGAGCGTAGCCCCTGGAGTATCAAGGAAGGGTACCTGTAACCTCATATTCCGGTTGTACGAATATTTGAATTGTAAATCTTGATTTGTCATTAAAGAGGAATGAAGTGTAGTTTGAAGTAATTAAGGTAAACTATTCAGGTCACAGATATTACAAAAAAGAGTTAGAGATTCCACGAGATGACAATCGTTATATCTCTGTTTGAATGCTAAATATAGATCATACAAGTTTGTCATTTGTTTGGCAGGTCGTTGGAACAGGAGTAACCTTCGTAACTACGTCACCTTTAACACGGCAGTGAAAAGCGTGACCTTCAACAAGGAGATAGACGACTTTACAGTCATGATCAAGGATCTTAGCATTGACAAGGATCTCCCACCGGAGAGATTCTCTCACGTCATGGCGGCTACCGGTCGATTCTCCGTCCCGAATGTCCCCCTTTTTGACGGAATCGACATGTTTCCGGGTAGAAGTGTTCATTCCCACGATTTCAGAGGAGCACGCGAGTTCAAAGGTCAACGCCTCCTCGTGGTCGGCTCGGGTCGTTCAGCGGAAGACGTCGGAAGACAGGTTCCGGTCACATCGTCTGCTGCTACCGTACAGAACCATACATGGCCAAGCGGAATAGAGGAACGTCCATTGCTAACAATAGTCGACGGGAATATAATTAATTTCAAAGACGGGACCACGGCGGAAGTTGAAGTCATCATTCTTTGTACTGGATATCTGTACCACTTTCCGTACATGTCGGAGTCACCTCGCCTCAAGGGGACACCAGATGCATCCGGTCGGATTGTATAAGGGGACGGTATGGATGTGCGGTGGCAACAATGAGCTCATGTACCTCGGTATACAAGGTCACTACTACTCTTTCACGCTGTTCGACATCCAGGCCGAATGGGCATGTGCAGTCATTACAGGACAATTGAAGCTTCCACAAAGAAAAGAAAGTGAGGCGAATATTAAAAACTGGCAGAAAAGCAAAAGATGTTGAAGCGCTTTTACGAAGAAATCGACTATCAGACGAAGTTTGTGTGTGACATCGCCAGACAGATCGGCCGCTGTAAGTACAACCTAGATGTATCTGCCCAATTAACCAAATATGAGGATGATAGGTATGCACAAACACAAAACAAGGACAAATGCAAGAGGGGATTCCTTACGTCAACACGACTGTTTCCCGAGATCACACTTTCAACTGCCGATATGCTTGTACGCGAGCGCACGTAATATATCTTATATACTTTATGAGATGTCTTATATACCTTATAAGATATCTCATATAATATATAAGATATATATCTTATAAAAAAATGATGAGATATCTTATATATTATATTTTGAAGGTTCCTCTTATCGTATTTTATCCAATCCCGATTTAGACATTGTAGTTTCGTCAATGACAATTGTCAGTGGCGTGGTCTGATAGATTGTCCTAAAAACTTCATGCTTTGAAGTATTTATCTCTATCTGAAATATATTCATAAAGAATAAAAAACAACTATACGATTTTTTGCAAATTCCATTTAAATTTCTTTGACAGTTCTGTAAATAAATTCAAAAAATGGATTCTTTTTTTCAAAATATGTTCAGTTTAATATATTTTATTGCCAAAAATACAAGAAAAGGGTTCAGCACAATTATATACGTTATACATTATTTAGATAAAATTGGAACTTAATTTCCGCATAAAGATAACTGAATATTACATGCGCGAGTTACCTCTCTTGGAACCTACAATGTTTTGATTGCAATTTGAACAATGGCTTCTTGTAGGGTACCATCGAAAAATCACCGTTTACGATCATCGTAACTGTTATTTCTAAACAAGATAATGTGGACATCGTAAGGAAGCAGTATGTGTGGATATATGCCTTATAACAACAAAGTCAATATGCGACGGCAATGGTAGCCCGAGTTTCCTTTGGCCCTGACACAAGACTTACAGTTTTACATAGATAAAACCTACACCAGACATCTATCTGTCAAAATGTCCAAGTCTGGTGCCGAGGCCAGGGGAAACTCGGGCTTAGGCGTAGGGTGCAGTGCAAATAGGCAAATAACATCGTGTAGGAGTGGGAAGGATCGAGGAAGAAATATATCATCAATCTCTTACACCCTCGTAATATAAGTTGGCCTATTGCAAGAAAAAAAATTAAACCTTACTTAACCAAAGTAATCAGCCAGTCCGGTTTCAAATAAGTTGAATTAGCAATCTGCCGTCCTAGCATATTCCCTCAGTTGAAACGGCACATTGATGTTTCGTAAACAGTTATTCGGAGAGCTGTTTAATACATCTAAACAGTTCTTCGTTGAATATGCTTCAATCCATTGAGAATATTAACATTTTAATTCCCATATTTACTTTCCCCAGCGTTTTGAAAGGAGTCATTGAAGAATACCATTATATTTACGCGTTGTCGGGGCCGTTATCATAGATGCATGAATAGTTTGGAAGGTTTTGATGTCACTTAATTTGACACGCATTGTAATTCTCAATGATTTCTCTACATCCCCATTGCTGATTGCAAACTAAATTTGTTATCGGATGAGCAATTTTGTTTTGGCGATCCGCTTATGTCCCTCGTAACTGTTCTTGTCCCTCGTTAAAACACATCGTCAGTGGGAACTAAGTTCATGGCGGACATTTCTTACTGCGCTCAGTGCAACTATTCAATATCATCATCTCAAGCAAACTTCTTGATAATGTACCATTGAGTGTTCCTGCTCAGTTCAATTGCGTCTCAATTTTAAAGTTGATACTCTTTACCTATTGAATTTACACTTCTCATTTAGAGTCAGCCTGTGTTCACTTGCAGCATTAAATGTCATTTCTAGTGCTCTGTCATGCTTTCTGATGTTTTCCCAGAAACAATGTTGTTGTCTGCTAAGTTCTTTCCTCCATTTATATGCTGGAATATGCAAGTATATTTAAGTAATATTTCTGCATTTTACCCAAATTCCCCGGGCGTATCACTGATTATGTTGTGTTTTATTTAAAACCCGAGAAAATACACACCAATTCATTCCGTATTTTCATTTCACCATTTATTTATCCGGTACTTATCGTGTAGTCTGAACACGTCGCAAACTGCATTATGGTGACCTTTTGGGGTGATGTGCATGTTTAGTTATTCGACGTGTGTCCTATCCGGATAAAATGTCCGTAATTAGACAAGTCTTGTCCAAAATATACCTCATGTGCTCTCTTGAATAATAAGAGTTACAAAAAAAAGCCACCACGTGTTTCTGAGTTGGTTTTGCAGTCTAACGACTTTTTACACGTTATATAATAACGCTACCTGTAAACTGTGCAATATCATTACCTGTCATGAATTTTCCAAGTGCATCCCACAAAATGAGATTTTAATGCGGGTCTTGTATTACTGCATACAGATGTGTCTAAACCGTACAAAACACACCGTGCACCTGCACAATTTTATTGCGTTGCTACCGAGAGTTAAGGCAATATTTGCATGAAAAATGCATTATTTTCTCAATTTGTTGTTTTTAAAAATGTTTAAATTGCACTGAGACATTTTCATTTTGAGTGTTATTTTCTGTATTAAAAAATGACGGTATTTCAATTTTCACATTGTTATGAGAGGGTGCACTTTGACGAAATAGGCATAGGTGCTGTAATAAATATCCTACAGTGTATTAAATATTATTATTATTTCTAACATTCCTGAAGTTATGTCCGTCATTTCTTTATTTTGCTATGTACACCGGAAGTGATCATTATTAAAAATCCACCAAAAAGCAGCGTTGTTTCTTGTTGTCCTCCGGGAGGTCAGCGCAATAACAGTCAATGCATTGGCGACGACATAGGTCTTAAGCGAGAAATAATGATTAACCCTTGATAGTGACCTACATACCAAACTTCCTGAACGTTGTGTACCGACTAGATGATAGTGTTGAGACGAGTGTCGGGTAAGAATTGGCGAGAGGAAAATACGAAATGAATTCTTGTGTATTTTTCTACGGTTTTTAATGAAAAAAGATATTTACAGTGATGCAGTCGGAAAATTTAGGCTAACATAATTGACTTCAAATGCAGAAAGGCGTCTCTTAAATAATTGTAAATAAAATTCAGTACATCACATAGTAAGCCTAAACAAGGGAAATGTGATTTTTATGCGCAGAATTTCAAGATTAAAGACGTAGGTACATTCCGTCAAGGAAGTGTGACGTCACATTTTAGAGGATCTTCATTTGGCGACCCATTACATCGTCGAAAACAACACCAGCGAAGCCAGCCATAGCTTCTGTAGACATTTGAGTCGCCATCTTGAAATGTTCTAAAGCATTCGGAACTCCTGTTATATGGTATTCGGAACAACTCGCCCGATTCGGTCATCTTTCACGGAACTGTTATTGGGGAAAGGTGTTCCGAATGGTCCCATGGAACAGCACATAACTTGTGCAGAACCAGACTTCCGAACACACACAGGGTTGCAGATAGCATTAGTGAGCGTAACTCCTGAGTATCGAGGATACCCAGGATCAAAATGTTGGTAAAAAATGTTCGTCCTCTTACAGCCTCCTACAACTGGTTCCGTTAAATAACCAGACCATACTCACAATTTCTTGTAAACGTTTTAGTTGCCTCACCAATGTGAATGCATTGTCAACTTAAAAAAGATATCACATCACTAAGGATTTTATCATACATTACGTAAAGATTACTCTTGCCTACATCACTTGTACGGTAGACTAGGAAATTTCGCCCCAAATTAAAATTCGCCCTTCACATTTAATAACTATGTGTATTATGTTGTTTGCAAATGAGTGCTGTTTTAATGAATTCGCCCTCATTACAAGGTGGGAAAAGGCGAAAATCAAACTGCCGCGAAAATTTCCCGGTATACAGTACATACACATGCATGCTAGATGTGTAGCGAAAGTTACATACTCTTTGTATAGGATTGATAGACGATAATAGAAAAGAAATTCATCAGTTTTGTAAACTGTCCGATGCTGTTTAAATTCATGTTTTCCATATTTATGTTGATGGATATGTGATATCAGCCCCTCTACTGAGCTATCTTTTTCATCCTCATTTCACGCATAGACCTAAATTAACGGGACCTTTACTTTAGGTCTCTGTTTCACGTTAACGAGCTTGTTTTGATACCAGTTTACAGGATAAGATTTCGTGATACATCGTTCACGATGTGTATGCATGTTTATTTGCATAAAGTGCAACACTTGCGCGAAAGCCTGTCTGTCATGTTGACATCTCAAAGTGCTACCTTGAACCTTTAAACTAGAGTAGGTTTTAGGTCTATAATTGTATATCTATGTACTGTAAAGCGCTTTAGAGTGGCTTATGTTAGCTAGATAGGGCGCTATATCAAATGTTGTATATTTATTTATTTTATTTATTCAAAGTCCGTCAACAGGTTCAGTTATGACTAATTTTCGGGATCCAACCATCTAGCCGCATCGGGGAATTATGTCGGGTGTTAATGTATACTGTGCAGCTTTTAGAAATAAGAATTTATATCCTTGATATACATTTGAATGGTCTTTTATTTTCAATTTTCAATTTTAAAGTTCCTATTTAGCTGTATATTCACGTGTCTCCATGATTAAATTGAGAAAACGGTACAACAAGTCAATTAAGTTACCAATTTCATATGTTCCCAAATATTATTACACATTGTTTTGAATTTTTTGTTCGATAAATCATTGAGTATGAAAGAAAATAAGCTTATTGTAGGGGGCAGATAAGGGGTAATAACGTGCCATTTTAGGGGGCATAGAGAGCCTGGTTGGCATATCTAAGAGCATGAGTGATATTTAGGTTGGATATAGATTCCATATACACTTTCTTCATATAATGAGTTGTGTTGGTGAATCACTTTAGGATTCACTTGTTTTGTGACCATGACAAACATAACTACACATCTAGATAACGATAAATGCGAAGAAAATCGGTGGTGTTGAAATGCGTCTTCTCATTTAACTCCATGGCCCTGTGGGATATATATGTATCTTAACATGAACATACTGTCAGTCATTTGCATCTTGCATTTTTTTTTTATTGTTTAACGTCCTTTCAACAAATGACGTCATATAAAGACGTTTGCCTAGGGAGGCACCACCGAAAACGATGTGTTGGAAAGAGAGAAAATATATAAATCCCAAGGTGTTGCAATGACATATCTCCTAGGTGAAAGACACAGACGAAAACCCGCATTGGTCAGTTCTTACGACATACATTGGGGTACACCTGGTCTTTGCTTTCCCCGAACTTGCACAATACTTTCTATTACAAACGGCGTGTTAAATGTAAGCAATTTTTATTTACATGTGGTAGATGACATAAACGTGACCAGAGTCTTCATGAAAAGGTTATCAGTTGTAATATCCCAATCGACATATCGTAATAAATATTAAACTGCGAAGACATAAAGGCTAGTGTAAAATGCTGCCATTTCCTGGCCTCTGATTGGTCAAAATTTAAATATTGTCTGATTTTCATGAAATTTTGTATGTAGGTATATCATGAGACACAGGAGTTTCACATTTCGACAAAATGACTGCCATTTCCTGGCCTTTGATTGGTCAAAATCTTATCCAGTAATAACTTTTCTTCTACGTGACGGAACATAATGAAACCTGGCGGAAGGGATGACAACGTCACAGCGCTCATTTTCGACAAAACATATTTTACTTTGGATTCAAAATGGCGGCCATATGCAGGCTTCTGATTGGTTGAAATTTAAATATCGTCCAATTTGGATGAAATTTGGTATGAAGGTGAAGTATGGCACTACGAACACAACTGCAGTGTTCGTTTTGGGAAGAAACACAATGGCTGCGTACGAGAGGAGTGACTTCCGCTATTCATCTTCAAGTCAGTACTATACTTTATATAAAAGGTATATTAATATATGTTTGTTACTAAAAGGTTTATACAGTCATATTTCTGTTTTGCTGTTTCTAATTGGTTTATCAAATTACCCCCATATTCTCTTTTCATATTCAACGAAAAGCACGACAAAAATATTCATTGGTAATTGTCTTTGAAAAAACGTAACATTATTTCACGGTATGTTGATAGAAACAGAAAACTAATGACTGGAAACAGAGTTTTATAATTTATGATATGATGGCGCATTTCTGAGATCAAACAAGATATCAGGTATGAAAATTACCACAATATATAGTCTCTATGAGATTAGAAGATACGTTCGAAATCTAGACGATTAAACCATGCATGCAAACACCGACCTGACTGACATTAATTCAAATGAGGGTTGTTAACGATATTAGGACCTTACGACGAGGATGATGTCGATCTTGCTGATATTTTTATCCTCTCTGAACTAGTTGGAAGAAAATGGCATACATTATTTCAAGTCACAGAAGGAATTCATAAAAACCAATACGCGGAGAGAATCGAGAGAATCGCCAGAGCATTAGAGACGTACTATATATTTATTTCATCAAATACAGAACACACAAGTATACCGATACATTTCAAGACTTTGTCAACAGTAACAATGCCACGCCCCTACACAATATGTAATGCTGTGGTCCTTAAGGATATAAACAAAGCTTACAAAGCAGACCCATTTTTGTACATGCATCTAAACCCTAACAATTGTTTTTTTCTTTTTGTGTGAAGTCTAAGATCGACTTATTAATTTGCCAACACATGCATCATTATAATATCAGGTGTTGTTTTTCAACCTGTCACAATTATATATCGAAGCCTGTTTTCTGTGGGTTTAAATTAAAGGCGATATGGTCTGCACACTGCCTTCAGAATGCAACATATCTCACTTTGCTATCTTACTGCTTCTACCACATTGCATATGAATGGATCTGTAGTAGTTATTCGTGTAACTGACCATAGGGTTCACCGTCACTATGCAGTCAATACACGTATAACCATATATTACAAAGGTAATAGAGATATTGAATAATAAAAGGAATGATGTTTGATGTTTATGTAAGAACCAGTCATGTAAGGTTTACTTAACATATTCATTTACGACCTATGCTATCACATTTTGATCTAAAGAGACAGAATGGCTATCATCTCTCGATCACCAGTTCTTGTCACCGTTTGCTCCTGTCGATCAACAAAAGGGAACTTTACAGGATGTGCACAGACGTTTCATCTGCGACTTAAACTCTAACATACGTTTTTCGTGACGGAGGAGATGGGTCGCTCTTATCTGACGATCAGCTGCTCCTGTCACGGTTTTGCTCTTACCTATTAATAATCGTCGATAGTTAAGAGCTCGTGCATCATGGATATTTGTACTTTTAGCTCCTAGATCGCTGTAACATACAACGAAAGTAAACGGTGTCCCATAGGGTGCTCGTATTCTAATAGTTTGAATTTATGCAAACCAGTTTACATAAGTACAGATTTATGTATACTTTATCTGTTATATCCGTTAAAATTGTCAATTTGTAACATATGAAAGAGTTCTATAGGCACCCTTTAATTTTCGCTGTATTCTTAACATGTACCAGATCACTTAAGATATAAAATATGTTTTATATTTATTTATTTTTATATTTCATTCTCTGGCCCTTCGTGCCACTGAGGAATCCTACACGTTTAAACTCGCCATATTGTTAAGTAAAGTGTTTACTTCGACTGCCTTTCACCTTCTACAATAAAAAATAATAATTAGGTGATTCATTTCTTCGTATTTTAGTTATGTTTTTGTAAGCCCCTGAAATGTTTTGACGCGACGTATTATGGTATTTGGAGCGCACGCCGTCCATACCTGCAATATAAACATATACATATACAAGCACTGAGGCCAAGTTCGAAGAAGAGTCAAGTCCATTCAAAATAAATCCAATGTAAAACACTGCACTTTGATTGGTTGACGTTTTCCTTGCAATAACTTAGTCAAATATGACTGGACCCTGACAAAAACTTGATCAATACAATATGTTAGCAATCAGTAAGCAGTCAGAAATATTTTATATTTTTAATGTTTTTAGATGAATCTATTGTTGATGAAAGGAGGCGATGCCGGTTCTATTTTATCTCCTTCTTTGTGAACTAAACGACGATTCGCTCGTCAAATTAAGAAAGTCGGTTAGCGACTATTATGATCACAGAGGTAAAAGAAAATCAGACATCAGATGGAAACATAAAACCAAGAAATAAGGATTTTGATTATAATGCATGTTGACGAAGAACTAGATATTTTAAAACATGCAGGCAAAAGGTACACTGTGAAAGGTGTGATAGGTTATTATGTAAAAGGTTGATGTCATTACTGGAAACTACATGTTATGATGAATAAGATGGGGTATTGTTTCATGTGTGATCCTGTTTGGTGTTTTATTTGCTGAACAAACTGATTGCAGCGCGGTGTTATGAACGGTTATGACACAATCATAATGGATTATGAAATAATTTTATCATTTCATATTTCTGTGTCGGGTAGAAAATCCAGTTCGCGCGAGAAAATCAGTTCTCAAATTTATCTTCATTGCACTACATGTTCTATAAAAACACGTAGTAGATAAATCATGTGTGTACACTTTTGTCTTAAATGTACATAACATCGGTCTGCTGACCAGTACTGAACGGAATGTGGTGGCGTTGACCGGAAGCAGGTTTTATATTTGGTATAGCATTTTGTTGAAAACATTTTGCCTTATTTACTTCAGAGCAATAACATGTTGTTTCACGATGTATGTTTGTTTATATTGTGGTGTGTTGTGACATTAATATAGGAAAATAGGTTAACTAGAACTGTCATGTTCCATTTTGCTAAATAGCACAGGTATAATGGATACAGTCAGTTTATAGACGACGCTGGCCAGATGTTTAAAATTAGCTCGTTGCGAGTAGTTCTTTAAATAATTTAAAAAATACATTTCAATAGCGAAAATATCAAAATTAAATTCAGTTTATGAATAAAATACGAAAAGCATGTATATGTGTTAACAACAAGACAATATTCTCGAAAGATGAAAGGAAGCAGTAATCTTGGTGGGACATTTAATTGCAAAGGTGATGTATCACAGTTTTGTTGAAACTTTGTTATTCTTTCATTTTTTACAATATAAATTGTTACATGTCCTTGAAATCTGTGCGTGTTATAGGGAGGCCCACTGGTTAGAATTAACATTTATTTCAGACAATAATGCAAGTTGCTACCTCATGAAGATCTTGACAAACACAATCTTGACATGAAGGACGTTGATGAATGGCTGGTGACAGACTAATTCTATATACGTCTCCACTTATGCGTTAAAAAAACAATAAAACATGTTTATAGTTTCTTTGTGACATATACTGTATCATGAAACAGTTACAACACCTTTGCTAAATAAAACGTCATTGCTTTAATAATTAAACCGCTGACTATACATAATACAAAAGCAACTTTTTATATTCCACCGACTGTTATCTCCGATTTGATATACAATAAATATGCAATATGTTATGATAAAAAAAACCATTATTTATACGTGAAACCCCACTCCGCTTAATTGAATATACATTATTAGATAACATATATTTCCTAAATGTCTTCAGTTGCAAATGTCCAGTAGAATATAATATACCTGCAATAAGAAGATAATATAACAACTAGGCAATCATGCTACTTCAAGTCGTCCCTTTTTTCCTCTTCTACTTGTTTGGGGCTGGTTTACAAACGTCTCCAGGGAATCGTCGAATGCTTTGAACCATGGGGTGTGATGTTTGATCCCTGTCTTTCCGCTGAAAACGGATGTAAACGTCTGATCCCGACTGTTATCTCCGATTTGATATACAATAAATATGCAATATGTTATGATAAAAAAACCCATTATTTATACGTGAAACCCCACTCCGCTTAATTGAATATACATTATTAGATAACATATATTTCCTAAATGTCTTCAGTTGCAAATGTCCAGTAGAATATGATATACCTGCAATAAGAAGATAATATAACAACTAGGCAATTATGCTACTTCAAGTCGTCCCTTTTTTCCTCTTCTACTTGTTTGGGGTTTGGTTTACAAACGTCTCCAGGGAATCGTCGAATGCTTTGAACCATGGGGTGTGATGTTTGATCCCTGTCTTTCCGCTGAAAACGGATGTAAACGTCTGATCCCGGTATGTCGTTATATTCGCAAACCGGTCATCCTCCCATTTGTTGTATAGGGCAGAGACATCGAGGTTGTACTTACAACCGACTTCACTGGCAAGGTCACACACAAACTTCGTCTGGTAGGCGATATCTTCGTAACAATCCTTCAGTAACTTTTGCTCCTCCCTCCATACTTTAATATCCGCCTCCATTTGCCGCCTGTTCGGAAGCTTCAAGTGTCCTGCTACGACTGCACATGCCCATTCCGCCTGGATGTCAAACATGGTGAAGGAGTAATACTGATCTTGCATGCCAAGGTACATGAGCTTATTGTTGCCACCGCCCATCCATACAGTCCCCTTATACAGCCCATCGGGGTACAGCTCTGTTTTCGTTTTGAGACGAAGTGACTCCGACATGAACGGGAAGTGGTACATATATCCAGTACAAAGAATGATGACGTCAACTTCCGCCGTGGTCCCGTCTTTGAAATGAATTGTGTTCCCGATGACTTTTGTTAGCAATGGACGTTCCTCTATCCCCGCCGGCCAGTTGCTAAACCCCATAGGCTTTGTACGGTAGCAGCAGACGACATTACCGGAACCCATCTTCCTGCATTGCATTGCGATGTCTTCCGCTGAATATTTCGCTCCGACCACAAGGAGGCGTTGACCTTTGAACTCGCGTGCTCGTCTGAAGTCGTGCGAATGAAGAACTCTACCAGGAAACATGTCGATTCCATCAAAATAGGGAACAACTGGGACCGAGAAGTGACCGGAAGCAACAATGACGTGAGAGAATCTCTCCGGTGGGAGATCCTTGTCAATGCTAAGATCCTTGACCATGACTGTAAAGTCGTCTGTCTCCTTGTTGAAGGTTACGCTTTTCACTACCGTGTTAAAGGTGACGTAGTTACGAAGGTTACTCTTGTTCCAACGACCTGCCAAACAAACCACAAACTTGTAAGATATATTGCAAATTAAGGTCTTGTGATGATCAGCCTGTGTATTTGCAAACTTCGCATTGACAGTATCGCTGACCTTAATGTAACTTTGATCACTTTGCAAACAAACACTCCACGCTGTCTTATTTCATAAGCTGTCTGGGTTTGATGAATCAGTATATAGACGATTCCATCATGATGATTCAATGTGGTAACAGTGTACACATTTAAAGTAACAGTGTCAATGGATCTTTTCAATATCGTTTTTGTTTAAGGTCCATATTCTATATGTGTTTTATACCAGATAGCAGGTTTTTGACAAAATAAAATTTAAATGTAAAGTTATCATCCAATGGTTCACGCCACTATAAACGATATGGATACATTTGGATATGTTGTAACATGTTACAGTAAAAGACTAAAACAGCAGCTTTGCAATTTAACTAACAATTTAGAAATTACAATTATTAAATATACGCTACTGCCCCCCCCCCCCTCCCCATTTTTTAAATAAATACAAATCACGAATACATCGTCATTACATAGGATTGCTAGTTAAGAACAATCAAGTATACATATGATTTGATATATTTTTCTATAAATTAAATAAAAAAATACCAAATTAAAGCGAAATAAACATTTTTATGTAGTTACTGGTACCTTGTAGATAGTCGAAAAGAACAGCCCGTGGAGGGAAGGACGGAAGGACCTTCCCAAAATGGTCATAAAACGTGTAATCAGGGTACTCCAGGCATTCCTTGGGACCGTTGGACCAGAGGTCCCGGTACTGACTACCGTGGCAGAGCTCACCATGTTCATCCAGGCCTGTTGGTTTGGAAAAATAATAAATAATATTGCTGATATTTCACATTCATTAAGAGACATATTTTTGTGTTGCTTTATGTGCGGAGAGTTTTTTTCTGATTAAGTCGATAGATATTTTGAACTGCGGATAAGTTTTAGAGGTACATATTTGTTCGAAGGAAAAACAACATGTAATAGACATGTAAATGTGACGTAGTGACGTTGTTCTGAAGAGACATCATAAGGGTTAACGCTGCTAGTTTTAAGGCGGTCGTTATATCTGATTTTTTCTATACTGACCTACTTCATATGGGCATCTATACTTTTGATTGGTTTTAAAAAAATATGAGTATTCATAACGTTAACCAATTATAAACTCAAAGACTACAATGCAGATGAATATAGGTAAAGATAGCAAGAAATCAGTCAGAACAACAATCGTCAAACCACCATACAATAGTTTTAACATTTTAGCTATTAAAAGAACAGAAGGTACTAGTCAACCGTTCATCATGTTTTACTAACAGTTCTCCTTTTTAATCGATCGTCTAGGAGTTGATTAACATGGCAAGTTGTTGAAGGAATAATTTTAAAAAGAATTAAGAAATATATAAACATCCTGTCATTTGCTCATATGCAGAAGTGCAAACTATAGTATAGTAATATAACCTACAGTTCTATAAGATTTTATTGAAAATGGTATAAACATTCAAAAGGAATTAGCAACAGGCTTAATGCCTATACAAGCCTTAGTATATCAATTAAGTTGCTTTTTATAAAGACATTCGCTCAATATAGGTGAAACAATCGATCAGAGCATTTTATGTGGGGGAATATTCATACAATCACAGTGAAAAGAATTTTTGTATTCACAAGATATGTTCCTTTAGTTGAATAACAAGTGTATTCGTGAAAATCAACGCCCGAACAAGTATTAGTGGCTTTTTGGTAAAGTCGTGCAGAAACAATAATGCAATGCTAAATTCGTGCGACTGACTTTGGGCATTGATACGGATGTCAGGGGCAAAGAAATTGGACCAATTAAAGTGATACACACTTTGTAATATCTAGTTTATAAAACAAAAGACAAAACTCACCTGTTCTCCAGGTATAGTTCCATAATCCTCCCCAGTTGGACTGTTTTTCGTAGCAGACGACATCTGCACACTTTTTCCCGGCCGCTTTTAGCTTACTATTGTGATAGAGAAAGGACATGCCACTAGGACCCGCGCCTATAAGACACACTCGTTGGTTCCCAGCCATGTTGTATTCTAGCTCACCAAACTTTTTGAATAATAATTTAAATCTTCATTAAAAGTCTTCCACAAATAAGAGATGCACACTCTGACTCTGAGACAGTATGTGAAGACAAAACAAAAATGTAAAGTTGTGGTTCATATAGAGCCGAATGACCTCAATGCGAACACATGCAGTGCTTACCTGTCGGTATGAGAATATTCTAGCTACTCTGCATTTACATGCAATCACGTTACCAACGTTTTAACCAATGAGGTGACTCCATGAAAACAAAAAAGATGTAAAGTATGTTGTTTTTTATTTGAAAATTTACGGAAAACGGTATATACCTACCTTGCATTAAAGGAGTTTATTGTGCTGGTACATAACATATGAAGATGAAATATTTCACAACTTTTTACAAATCTCATTGGTGTAGTATAATTGAATGGTTATTTTCGTATTGGCCTAGTTATTGGTTTGAGGCCTGCTATACTGGCCTGTTGGCACGAGGCGAATCGCCTCAGGCCAATATAGCAGACCGATGACCAACCCATCCTTTGTAATAGTTTCATGTATTTTTAGTTCGTATAATAGCTCTGTTCACAAATCAGTATCCTGATTTTGTTTCTTTATGACTTCGATTGTTATTAAGTAGCCAGAACGCATACGTGAATTTGCTGTAGAAGGAATTCATTATTTCTTTCATTTTCTGTATGCATGTACATAACAATGTTTCATTTTCGTATTCATGATATTAATATTTAGGTGTCATTGCTATATATATAATATATTAATGTTAACTATTCATCTACTGCAATTTCTGTCTTAATGATGGAATATATATGTAAACTTACATATTACTTATGAGGAGTCTTAACTGCCACGTCAGCTTTTAGCAATATGAGACAATATATGGTATCCCTCCAAATGGTCATCGTTGTATTCCAGCTCTTCACCCCTGCTTTGCTTTGGTGTCCTCTATTTGGGGACATAAAAGCGACCAACATAAATCTGCTTTACCAATTGCAATATTTGGGATCTTTATCTTTCTTTCTACTTCTGACTACCTTTTATTTCCTAGCGCCTTGCTTGGCAACACCCCACTTTTAGCCTTAATGTTGAGCGTTCGCCCAGGTGAGGATGGCGATGTGTTCTGTCCCCAGGCCGGGACATACCAAAGTCCTTAAAAATGGTAGTTGTTATTCCCTGCTTAACGTTCAGCATTCATCGGGGAATGGCAACAACTGATTCAACCGTTGTCAGTATAATGTGACCAGGCGGAATGCTGTGCTGGGTGCCTTCGGCATGGTTTTTCAGTGAGATAGCTCTATAAAGTCGGCATCAAACAAAATTAAACCAAACCAAACTAAGTATTCTACCTCAAGGACATTACAGATTTTAATTACTCACTCAGCCATTGCTTGACAATTGGACGAGTCGGTCTTGTAACGTTGATGTCCATTGCTTGACAAAAGGACGAGTCGGTCTTGTAACGTTGATGTCCATTGCTTGACAAAGGGAAGAGTCGGTCTTGTAACGTTGATGTCCAATGCTTGGCAAAGGACCAGTCTCAAAAGGTTATGCTATCATCGACTAGAGTGCAAGAAATACACGTGTCTGGAGAGACCTTCGAAATGGCTGCCGTATTGGTTATTTTTAAGTAGTTTATTTAGAAATAATTTAGGTACATCTTTAATTTAAAAAAATATATCTTTTTAGAATTAAATGAAAATCTGTCACACGAGATCAAAGGAAGAGTAGATCCTTAATCACATGCTGTCAAAAAGGGGATGAACTGGTTTTCGCAAAACACACTAAGCGAACGTTTCGCTGTTTATTTGAGGCAATTTATTGCATACACATCTTCAAATTATGTCGTCAGTAACATCCTTATTTCCCAACAGAAATTAAAGGTGGCGGCATTGTGTTAGTTAAACGTGACGTCACAAAAGTGGTTATAAATGGTATACAAACATTTCCCATGCTGATATAATTTGTTTAAAGTAATTGTATGGTTGTCGCAAACAAGTGCAAGGTGTTGAATATCACGTGGTCTCCGAGTTGATGGACGTAAAGCTGATACACAAGGTTATGTAGTCTGTGCAATAGAAAGACAAAGATATTCCTTAGCGTCAACAACATGATAAACTGGAACACATAATGGATAAAAAGATATTACAGGACCCGATAAAATTATACAAAATAAGAATTTCCGGAATTATAAGTTTCCTGAGACGTATATATATGGTACTACCATAATATATTTTGTTGACTTTTACTGAGAAGTAAGTCAGTAACCAAGGGTCTGAGACACGGTAAACAACTCTTTAACATTGCAGACATTGAAATCAAGTCATGATTTCAACTTTGACATTTCTGAATCGTAGAAAACGGACCACATTTATAGGACACGTTGTGGCCGCACACAGCATAACCTTCTTTGCTGATAACATCTTTACAGGTGAAACCCTTCTTATCTTTCAGCTGGCACTCGGCTCAAACGCAGCTAACATGGCGATCAGCGTTTCAATTTTTTGCGTATGTATGGCTGTCGTTTCGGTACGTATTATAGAAGTACAGTTTTATCAAAAACATGAAAATGCCTGTAAAGACGTTTTAAACAAAATATGCTGTGCATGATCTGTCTATCATAAAACCTTACAGTTGGGTGTAAAGCAAACTAGATCTGGTAGTCACATCAGGATTCATTTATCTACGTACAGAAAAGCAAATAATTCTAATTTTCTTAGGATAATCGAATGAAATTAATCAATATACACAATGTAATAATGTAACTAACACATTTTTCATCGGGACGAACATTCTGAACCGCTAGATTACCTTTACCTCCATATGATATCAGCCATGATTGATTTCAGGTAACATCAGCCATGAGCGTCACCACTGTGTCACCGTTCCTTTGTCAAAACAGTACTGAATGTAGCGCTCATCAGTGTTGCTCCAAGATTCCAAGCATTATGGCCGTCAGCAAACGACAGTTAGGTCCTCTTCCGGATCTCCAGTTTTTCGTTAGCTGTACGTGTCGTATCGGACAGACCGGTGCTTTATATTTTGCTAAATGAATACTGTTCTTACTTTTAATACTATATGAGTAACACATCACCATCCTTCAAATGAGTTAACGCAACTTTTTATGCACAATTCTAATTAAATTTAAAGTTATCGAAAATAACACACACTATATCAAACATGTCATTTCATTTATTATATGCGTCCTTGATTGTTTTTTTTTTTAGCTTCTTGTAAACCTTATATACCAACAAACGGATCCTGTGTGAACGTGATATCAGTCAATGGTGACTGCGGCTGCGCACCAGACCATATCTGCAAATACTTCCCGGAGTTAAATGGACCGTTCCTCCATCCAGGAAAACGTGACTTTTTCCCAGGAAATCCATTGGCATTTCGGTGTGTTCCAAAAGCTGCTTGACCAAACAATAAAACAATTGATTAATCAATGTAAATTACGTTTGTGTTTTCATTTGCTGAATGTAACGGTAACGTAAAGTAAGGAAAATTCTTTGAAATTAAACATTATTGTCTGTTCTTTTTCCTTTTAAGAATATCCCGTCATGATTAGTAAGTTAAGGTAATGAATTAATAGTACACGTTTAAATATCGTGGAATTCATTCAGGTTAAACGTATAGCCAGTATAATGGAAATCGTCCTGTCCTTTAATTTCACGTAATGATATATTGATGGTGTTTTGTTATCGACTAGAATCTCATTCATAAGTCAGAGGGAACTTCAAACTGCTTGATGTCGGCGTCTTACTTAGTCATAACGTCAATAACGTCACATCAACCTCTTTGACAAAACGTGATTTCTAGATAGTTTACTTTACATTCCTCAGTAGCAACATACCAGACTCCACTTAATTCAGTTTTCCAGAACCTGTCCATAGACTGATGTGTCATTTTGAAAATATTGACCAGCAATTTATGCCAGAAAGGTTCCATTCTACTTAAAGTTATTTTAACAGTCATTCCGGTACCATAATTTCAAAAAACTGATATTCCAATGTGTGCATGATTTCTAAGGGTTCATTATGCCGTAGACAATTTGTAAGCGAGATACATTGGCAGCATGTTTCGCGAGACATAGTACGTGACTAGGACCATGCGCGAGACATAGTACGTGACTAGGACCATCAATATTTCCCCAACTGCTTTATCATAGAAATAGATATTTAACGATTAATGAAAAATTAACCTAAACATTTCGAAACAAAAATAAAGAGTCAAAATATGTAGTATTGAAATCATATCACCTTTAAATAAGTCAACACCGACGGATTCCAACTTGGCTTATATTGACTCTATTTCCGATTGAGTGTTATCAGCAAGTAAGAATGCGACCAATGGCATTGTCTACAATTTTGGAGTTACTCCCCTTGCATCACTAAAATTATTTTTAGCGTTTCAACAGATTATCGTTGACATTTTTATTGTTGATAAACTTTAAAAAATATATTTTCTGAATTTGTCTTTCGTTCCATTTTGATGAATTTGGTACAAATCTTAACACATGCACATATACATCTATTTGCAAATTTTTTAAAAGTATCCGTTCGCAGTTTTGTTGACAATACGTTAAATGGTCAAAGTATTTTTAAGTCCTTTGCAACTGATCCTAATAGTAGCTTTTATGTGGAATTATGTATCAGTAACAGAGCCACAACTGATTTATAAACAATACCAGCAGGAATAAAACATAACAAGTGCTACTTGTAATGGAGGCAATAACAGATGTCCCCCAAACACCCCCGCAAAAAAAGAATCCGACATATTTTTAAAAAGAATGTTAATAATCACATATACTATTTATCAATACTTACATAAGTCATGGTCGGTACAATACAGCTATATATTAAATTTGAGTGAAATCGAACAATGTTTGAATTTCGACCAATCAGAAGCCAGTATATAGCACCTATTTTGTCGAATCAGAAAACGGATGCCGTAGTTGAGCTCGCAATGCCAAAATACACATACATACTAAATTTGAGAGAAATCAAACAATATCTAAATTCTCGACCAATCAGAACCATGCATACTGCAGCCATTTTGTCGAATCAGAAAACTGATGCAACAGTTGAGTTTGCAGAGCCAAAAACATATATATACTAAATTTAGTGAAATCAAACAATATGAAAATTTCGACCAACCAGAAGCCAGTATACCACGGTTAAATTGTCGAAACAATTCGGAGTGCCAAAATACACATACATACCAAATTTCAGTGAAATCAAACAATGGGGGTTCTACCTCACATTTCACAAGAAGGTCCCCCTTGGTCCCCTTTTGCGCACATTTTCTTTTGAGACTGATCGGATCAACGATATGGTCGACAGGCGGCCATCTTTATTTTTTACAGTGAAGATTTGTTATCAATATCTGGAAGCATTGAATGATTTTTCTCAAATTTGAAGTGTAAGTTCCTTGGATTTTGAATATTTTTTTATCGCTATTTCTCAAAAAGCACTTGATATTTCTTAAATTTCATATGAAAGAAGAAACAAGATCAAATTGACATAGAACAAATGGAGATGGTACGATGGTGAGCGCCAAGATTCCTCTGGTATCTCTTGTTTGCTTACGACGTCTAAAGGACAGACCTGTAAGCTAAATATGCCGTACTGTGGCATCTGTCTGTCCACACATCAACAATTTCTTCAAACAAACTTTTCCTCATAACCACTGATTGGAATTTCATCAAATGTAACCACTGGACTTTAAATAGCATTCGTTCAGTGATGTTACCTGTAGCAACAAGACACGTCTTTTGTTAATTTACAATTAGATAAAGATATAGCTAATTATAGTATTAGCTTTCTGGGGTTGTAAAATGCGTTTAAAGGTTATTTGAAAATACTCATAAATTATAATTTTAATTTACAATTAGATACAGATATAACATGTTATATTATGAGCGTTCTGGTATTGTACAATGACAGATAAAATTCATTTGAAAATATTCATACATTGTTATTCATTCCTCCCTAAAATATATTAATTTTACCTTTAACAACAAGACACAGTTTTGTAATAATCATCCTTTCTTCTGTGGCTGGTGTTGGCGAAATATTCAAATACACGCTGGTATGATATTTTAAGCACATGTAATCATTACAATTCATTATGATGAACTATGCAATTTTCTGCGAAGTTAGGCAGGTGTGAAGATTTGATTGTATCTAAAGTTTAATTATATTTTAACATGTTGCTCCACATAATTCTGGCTCAACATTGAGTGATATTTAAATATCAAATTGCAAATGATTTGTTAACATTTCATTATCATAGTTTGAAAAATGTCATGTGTCAATAATATTTGTGTATATGCTGTCAACTCATATGGGCAGAACAGTGGGCCCGAACAGGGGAAATAGAGGAAAATATTGACCAACTAAAGGAGTTTGTACAAAGAGGGACTCCAGTTTCATAAACAAAAGATGGGTGGTTTTTGTTTTTATACTTTTGACAAACAATTGGCAATGTGAACTACAAACCTTCTTTCATCAGCGCCCTATAGTAATCACAGTTTCCGTCTGTCTGTCTATTCGTCAGCATTTTTGTTTACGGAGATGAACTCAAAAAGGCTGAAATTTCGAAAAACTTCACGTAATGATCCAGTTTGATAAATATAGATGTGCAAAGGGCGGGAGTTTCACAGTTTTATCAGGTCAAAGTCAAGGTCGCCGTTACTAAAAATTGAACAGTGAGACTATACTGTCAAAAACACACTTTATGACCTGCATAAGGCCAGATAGTGGTAAACAATGAGATAATGAAGCAAAGTTGGTCATACTCAAACAAGAAGTCAAGGTCAAGGTAATCGGGTCAAAGGTGAAGGCCAAATGATATTTATCTTAACTGGTTAACATTTTGTTATAACATTATGAAGCAAAGTTGGTCAGAATTAATTTGGGGTCTGCGTATGCAATTAGTAATCATGATGTCCATCTGTCTCTCTGTCCTCTGTCCGTCTGTTTGTCTGTTACCACTTGGATATGATCTTTGGAACCTGAGGTTCAAACTGAAATTTCACATGGTTATACATTGTGATACAGATATGCAATAGGTTTTTTTAAAAATCCTTATGTCAAGGACATAATACTAAAATAGAACATGTTTGAAAGCACAGGTGGCATAAATCTTATGTTCTATAAACACAATTTTATTCAATACTTTTAATTTTGTGGCATTGTGGCAAGTGATACAGATCACCTATGTGAATAACCTCATGACCTATTTCCCAAAGACCAAGATGGTCAATGTAGCTTTTGCTTGATTCTTAAATGGGGAGTATATAGTCAGTCACACAGCGTGGCCCTTACTGACCTGTCGGTGTTCTTTTGGTTGGAAGCATCCTTAAGTGGTGATGATGATAAAGAATGTGCAAATGGAGGAAGCTACACCTCTGGAGGGGTCGGGTCGGGGAGGAGAAAGGAGCATAAAAACTGGATGTAAAACAAAGTCATGAAAAAGAAGGAAATTAACAAATAACTTAACGGGGAAAATAACGTAACGTTAAAGACGGCACGTCACTGTTTATATGTTTATTCAGTAATATCGAGAACTAAAATAACAGGAATCATCAATACACAATGGGCCAGTTGTAGATATCAGATATACTGATCTAACCCCAAAACATCCAAAACAGATATTTAATATTATCATAAATACGTTTTTCCTTTAATATATAATGTATTCTACTACTTTTCCTAACTTGACCCAAACGTTTCAAATTGGTCCTTAAGATACGTTTTCAACAATGATGATGAATTGTAAGTTATAAATTAAATTTCTTTGAACTTAAAAGTTAATTGTTTTTCTGTCATTCTTTCAAAATAAAATTGATTCATTTAGCAACAAATATTACAAAAAAAAATTTCCTAATCACTCTCGTAGGTACAGCCTATAGCGTGCAGTGAATTTTATCGTAGGAGGAACCCAGAGTGAAAAAACCCCACAAATAGTCGAACAAGTGTCGAATTACCTTTTTCGCGTTCGTTCGGGGAGAAGAGCCTCGGTCTTGGTGAAAGTTTTGCCCATTATCCAATGCGTCAACCGTCTACCCGTATATCTAAAGTCACACATTTTCTTTCTCATAGTATAGGAATTCCATAGTATAGGAATTCCCTTGTTTGTATCTCCTATAATAGACAGGAGCAGTTTTATAATGTCTACATATTCACAAAAAAGAGGTTATGATGTGCCAGCATACACAAGCGTCACATTCCCGCCTTGTCGTGGTTTTCAGTGAACATTCCCTTGTTTTGTTTTGCGTTGTTTTACAACCTTAGGAGAAATGATTTATTTGCAACTGCTCGCATGCATTCTTAGTTTTGTCATAAACGTTTCCAACGAAGTAAAGAAATTTATGAAACTTGTCTCGAAATCTTGCTGCCAGCACAGATTCGTTTCTTTAACCTCACAATAAAAGATCTCGGGG